CTGCAAAGCTGCTTAGGAACGGCTTGTCCCAAATTTTAGCCAAATTAATTAACGAATCTCATTTCACTTATGCTCGTTTTAATCAGTAAGATCAGCCGCAAGCTGGTACAGAGTCGGATTTTCCATTTTGGCTCTTAAAAAATTTATAATAAATAAAATACGGACTCGCAGCTAAGCAACCCGACAGAGGTCGGTAGTGTTACTCCTGTCGACCCTTAATGTTCTCGGCATTTTTCTACAAGAGGCTTTGGTATATTTTTTCAGGTCCTGCGCACACTAGAGCACATATTATTAATAAGAATAAATATTAAATATTAGGATTTACAAATATAAGAATATATTCCTGTTTAATATATTTAATATTTAATTTAATATTTAATAAATATTAAATATTAGGATATGTATATAAATGTAGGAATATTCCTATATTTATATCTTATATTTTATCTTTTCCATTATGTGTTACATTTAATTATTATATATTTCTAATTCCGACTTCTAATATTTATTCTTATTCCTAATATCTATGCACTCTCCATTGTGCGCAAGGCTCCACAGCTCCTCTATAGCTTCACCGCGCAGCGACCAGCTGATCGCGCCGACGCGACGCCGGCCGCGCCTCGCGGCCTCGCACAGATGGCGAGCACGTTCCCCATTTTGTGACGTACAAACATGGCGACGAACACTTTCGGCGGGAAACATGCCTCTTGGGCAACATCTGTCGCGAGTGTCGCGCGTCACAGTTCGTCATCGTCGAGCAACTTGCGTGGCCACAACGCGTGTTTTTCGAAGAGGTTTAACGTCACATGAAGAATATAACGACGAATATAAGAAGCGACATAAAGGTACGTCGCCGATAACCTCAAGAAGTTGCTCGTGCGCGTTGCCTATATAAATCGATAGAATAATGCAGTAAAAGTGAGCTTAGTCATCACCGAGATAATTGCTATAGGTACTATTTATGATATTCCTACACTTTGTGTCTCGTAAAACGCAATAAGCCACGACGCTTATGAAAGTCGGTATGAGAGCCGATTTAGTACGTGGATTGTGTCTAATTGATTGGCAGATTTCCTTGAAAAAGTTACCTGGCCGTCAGTTTCGTCGACGACGCTTTTATGGCAATATAAAATTGAAATCGGTCGTCTTGTGCAATTAACTCACATTAGAAACAACGTGTTGTTTCAGTAAGGAGCAGCTGCATCATGGCAATGCTTTCGCCGAGGAAACTCTACAACAACCCATTTACGATCTGTATAGAGGGAAATATCGGAAGCGGCAAAACGACGTTCCTGGACCACTTCCAGAGTTTTAATAATGCTACAATCTTGCAAGAGCCGATGGACTTGTGGCGAAATGTGGCTGGAGTAAACTTGTTGGTAAGTCTTTTCAAGAGTAACGTATCTGTGAGACATACCTATACTTGCGATATAGACATTACTGTGGACAAAGATATACAGTAGAATCACTATATAGATTTAGACAGTCTAGTATAATTATTTGAATGAATATGTCCTGATATGAGTGGATATCAAAAGAAAAACTATATAATACTTTCAGGAACTCTTCTACAAGGACTCAGTAAATTATGCGTTCTTGTTTCAATCATACGTTCAATTAACCAGGCTACAGTTACATACTATGGCTACACCATCGCCGTATAAAGTTATGGAAAGATCCGTGTTTAGCGGAAGATGCTTCCTAGAAAATATGAAGCGTACACATATGATACAGGACGTGGAAGCGATGGTTTTAGAAAATTGGTACGATTGGTGTATGGAGAACACGAATATAAGGACGGATTTAATAAGTATGTATCTCTGTCAATTAAGCAAAAAAAGAAATTATATAAAACGTGACTTCCCTTTCATGAAATTATATCTTTCACTTGCGATTTAGTATATCTGAGGACAACGCCTGAAGTCGTGTTTCAAAGAATGCAAGCACGTGCACGCAAAGAAGAGGACTGCGTGTCGTTGGAGTATCTGAGACAAATTCACGAAATCCACGACGACTGGCTCTACAAAAAAACCCTATTTTCTTTACCGGCGCCAGTTATGATCTTAGACGGTGACAAAAGTTTAGAGGAAATGGTACCGCAATTCGAGAAATGTAAAGATCGAATACTTAACGAGCAAACTGATGGCACAACAAACGCCAGAATAGTTTTAAATACTAAAGCGTAACGCAAGCAGTTACATAACAGTAATGTGTTTATCTGAGAATAGCTTAATTATATATATATTATAGGTAATTTTCATAACAATGTATAGAGGAGCAAATCATATCAATCTACATGTCATATCCTACTATTTCGTAAAGCTTAAAAGTTTTTCAAGGTAGAATAGTAACGGCTCTCGTGACTTACCTTCAGAGACTGAAATGATACTGTGTTCCGGGAAGGTAGGCTGATTGTCATTGACATCGATTACTCGCACGCTCAATGCAGCTGTGCCAGTTAATTGTGGGTTTCCTTGGTCGGTCGCGATGATAGTCAATCTATACTTCTCGCGGATCTCACGATCTAGGGCTATATTGGTCTGCACGATTCCGCTGTACGGCGGGCTTATGGTGAAGGCATTATCTGGATTACCGTCCACAATATGATATAAGATTCTGCTGTTCAGTCCTTGATCTGCATCACTTGCTGAAAGCTACAGCAGCAAATATTGACGATTATAATATGTGTCCAACGCATATACAATGTATTTTTACACATCATCTATTTTTATATTTAGATTTTAACATACGACAGAAAAAGTACAAATAAATATTTGCATCTTTGGATAATCCTAATTGTATGTCGCATTTCTTTTAGACCCTTCATAAAAATAACACCCACATAGAGTTTATATCACATACATATGCTTAGTTTTATTATGCAAAGGGGCCCTGTGTATATATATATATATATAATGTATCAAATTAAAGGCGATATAACTATATAAAATCACAAAGATTCTCTCACCTTCACGACAAAATCTCCTTTGGCATTGCCCTCGAGTACAGTAGCCGAGTACTGTGTTTGCGTAAAGATCGGTGGGTTATCGTTGACATCGGTCATCCTGACGATCACTTTGACGTACGCTTCCAGAACCTCCTGGCCCGCCGTCCTCGCCGCTACGCTGAGAATGTGCCTCGAACTCTCTCTGGGCTCTTCCTTCGGTTGCTGGCCCTCCAAGGATCTACCCCACGAATTGGTGCGCGCCGTGTCGTCCGGCAATTCGTTATCAGGTTTTATCGTCAAGTCGCTCCAAAGCTCCGCGTCCAGCCTGGTGGGATCGTTGACGCGCAGCTGACCGGTGTTTTCGTCGATCGCGAAGGTATCATAGTCGTTTCCGGACGCGATCGAATAGGTGACGCGCTGCCTCCTGCCGTCGCTGCGCACCGCGGTGATCTTAATGATCTCCGTGCCGGCCGCCGCATTTTCCTGAACGACGACGTTGTACGTGTCATTCTGAAATTTCAGGCTGGGCGTCAGGTCCGCGAGATCGCCGACCTGGAGCTCGATCAAACCCTTGGCGCTCTTCGGCGGGTTACCCTTGTCCTGAGCCAACACCTCCAGGTGGTACGTCCGGCCGTTATCTTGCGACAACGATAAGCTTGTCGTTACCTCGCCGGTGCTGGGGTGTATCCGAAATTTCGGTTTCTCCTGTTCGTTTATCAACGAGTACACGATGTCGCCATTCGCGCCATCGTCGGCGTCCTTGGCCGACACCCGGAGGATGTTCTGACCCGGCTGCGTGCCGATGGGCACGCGTGCCCGGAAGGGGTACTCCTCGAAAATTGGCGCGTTATCGTTCACGTCGCTGACATTGATCTCGACGGGTATCGATGTGTTTTTCGCGTCGTATCTGCCGCTGTCCGTGGCGACCACAAAGAAGGTATAGCTGCTTTGGCGTTCACGGTCCAGTGGGCTGTATCGAACAGGAAGAGACGGACATTAGTTATAGAATAGTTGGCTTATTATCGAGATTGAGAAATAGAGACATTAATTTAGTAAAAAGGCATAGTGCGCAATTACAGTTTATTTCTTTTTAAAATCTTAATTTGATAGGTAAATTTGATAGATTTCGATAAAATACATTAAAATAGTATCGCCGTTTCTTAGTTATCAATAAAATATCTAAGTGAATATTTTACTAATTAGAAGTTATTAGAGAGAATTCGGATTTAGGCGTCTCACAATGTCGTATCTTAAGACAATGTTTATTTACGGAGTTACGCAAATGCAAGTCGAGCGAAGCGAGAGAAGTTCCCAGCGTGCCTTCGCGATACAACGCGCGCTCGCAATAATTCTTAATAAGCGTGGGATAATGATCGGACGTCAGTAGTGCACGGGTTCGATACGCTTATTTACGATTGCGCGAAGCTAACTCGAATACTCCACAGTTATCTTCCGCCCTGGTATCTGCCCGTATCTGCCGACAGCAACTCGAAGTATGCAGTTTTACGAATATCCATCGTATCCGAACAGAACGACAGTTGCAAGGAACGTCTTAGCTGCACAGGATGATTCTTTCAAGGAATGCAAGAATGTTCGCGATGCTGTCACTCAATTGATAAATAAACGAAGCGCACACGGATAAATTTAGCGAGAAATTTGGTCATCCGTGATGTCATTTCGACGTCTTGCTACCATGCAGTTCACGCTTTTTATCGAATTATTCTATAGAGAACTGGTCCTCGTTTAACCCGTGTATTGTCTCTACCGGGTGGTCTCCGGAGAGCAGAAGAGGGGAAAAGTGTTCGGTACACTCTCTTTCCAGAGAGGTGCCGCATCGAGCGACGGCACGGCTTTCAAAAGGTAAGAGGAACGAGACCGTCATCGCAAGAGCAACGGTAACAAGGCGACACGAAAGCCGGGTTCGCGGCTACCGATCGAGGGAAGAGGATCTGAGGATACCAAAAACAGAAGCGGGAGGAGAGAGAAGAGGAGGAGGAGCAGGAGACGGCGAAACGAGACAGTGACCGGACAGTGGCCGCGGCGGGAAAGGGTGAAGAGAGAAAGAAAGAGAGAGTGAGAGAGAGACGATGAAAGTGGAAGAGACGCGGCGAAGGAGCAGCTCGAAGAGACCGAGATCTGGTTTTGCATATCAGGAGGCATTTTGCCGGCTGAAATAATGCATTGAAATGCCACATGGCGTCTCGCTGAAATGACACACGGCTGTCGCGGCGCAAAAGTATGCGCCCTCCTGAGCTCCTTCCCATGGAGCTGCCGACCATTCTCTTTCTCTCTGTCTTTACACCGTTCCTCCATTGACTTCGCGGCTCTCCCTGCTCTTCGTGTATATATATCCCGCGATACGAGGCACCTTACTCATCTCGTCGGTAGACGGAAGCAGAAACGGAAAAAACGCGGAAGGAGCCGCGCGTAAACGGACGCGCGGTCGAACGAAATCGTATCGCAATCGTAAACCAAGATCGGCACCAAGGAGGCAACTAATTGCCACAGGGATTAAAGCGCGAATCGTGAGTCACCGAGACGGACGCTGGGCGTGTCGGTCGGTCATGCGGGTTTACGGCGACTCCGCATAATAATTTGCAACGAGCAAATTACATATTCCCGACGTGGAAGTGATTTATCGAAATCACTCGGTCGTGTCGTCTTCGGGAGACGGGAGGAGGTCGCCGGACACGGGGGCGACACGGAGGCAGGCGGCTCTAATCGCCGTGGAACTCTTACGCGGCCGTATAACCCGTCCGACTCGTAAAAGTTAATGTTTTGTATATAAGGGCTCGGTATTGAATTCGATTCCGCGAAGTTCGCGCGCGCAATTAGCGTTTGAGGGTTTTCCACCGCCCGTACGCCAAGACCGTATCGAGCGGTTAACGATCAACCGCTGGATCAGCGCGGTCCGCTGGGATCAAGGTTCGCGGCAGCCCCGCAGCGAAATCGTCCATTAATTAACGAATCACGACCTTGCTGTTTGGTGGGATGGACGGAAGCCATGGACGGAAAGTCTTCGTCTTAACGATGTCCCGAGATATCGGTTTATTGCGCACGTAATCATAAGAGACACACACGGACCAAGAGGGACGGACGGAGCGCGGCGGAGGGCCGAGCAAAGAGATATATAGATAGATTATAGAAGAACGAGATGAGAGAGAGAGAGAGAGGAAAGGGATGCGAGGGGAAAAAGGAAGGAAGAGTATCTCGGGTTGTGCCGACGGGTTATGCATACGGAATCGTTTAATCGGCCATAGTGCATCGTTCGTGAAGCGCATCGACTGACTTTATAATTTTACGACGTTCCTAGACCGCGTCTCCGCGCCTCTCCTTCCTCCCGCACTGCCCTCGAGCGTCGAGCTTTTTCCCCCTGTAAACCGACTGGCTGCTCCCCTGACGTCCCCTCCTACGAGTGTGTGTGTGTGTGTACGTAGGTGTGCGCGCGCGTCTTCACTTCCCGTTTTACGACGTTATACTACCGGCGTAATATCCCCCTGGGTGATCCTAATCGGATGTGTAATAAAGGTCGCGGTAATTAACGCCAGGATGAAATTAGTCGGTTGGTAGCCGAGATCGCGAAGCGAGACTCACATGCGGCCTAAAGGACAAGAGAAAGAGAGACAAGAAAAAAAGAGACCCAACAGAGAGAGAAAGAAAGAAACAGAAAAAGGTCAAAAGGGAAGGAAACGATGACAGTGACAGAGGATAAAAGAAAGAAGGGAAGCCGTACGTAAAAAAAAAGTAAACGACGGGACGTGTGCACTCACCCAGCCGTAGTAACCACGCCGGTCAGGTTGTCGACCCTGAAGAGCCAACTAGTCTCCTCGAAGATGGCGTACGTAATCTTGCCGTTTACCCCTTGGTCCGGATCGGTCGCCTTCACGGACATCACGCTCGAGTCCGGCGGGACGTCCTCCGAAATAGTCGTCACGTACTTCGCGTGATGGTAATTCGCCGGATAGTTCGACGATCCGTACGGGAAACCATTGTGCGAACTGGACCCGGTGTACTGATTCTGCACGAAGGTCGGCGCGTTATCGTTGATATCCAGCACGACCACGGTGAGGTTGCAACGCGCTTCGCGGCTCGGCCGTCCCTTGTCCTTGGCCGAAATCGTCAGGACGTACTTGGGCACGGTCTCACGATCCAGATTCGACATCGACATCGACCCCGTGATTGGATCTAGCGCGAATTTAGCGCCGATGTTGCCGCCTAGAGTAAGAAGCGCAAAGATTAAATCTCATATTTTATTTACGCAATTTTTCGTACGCGCTACACTTGGCGGGACAACTCACCTACGATACTGTAGGAGATCTCGCCGTTCAACCCTTCGTCAAGATCGGTCGCAGCTACGGTGTGGATCACGGAAGTTTCCTGATTTTCCGGTATGGCAAGAGTGTAGCAGGAACCCGGCCGAAATTCCGGGCTGTTATCGTTCTCGTCCATCACTATCACTTCCAGAGTCGTGATGTCCAGAAGCTTGCTGGACCTCGCGAAGATGGAGACTGAGTAACGCGCAACCTCTTCGCGATCCAAGGGACTCCGAAGAGTGACTTGACCAGTGGGTGCTATGGCGAATTTGTTCGACGCTACGTCGCTCGGGATGCTGAAGGTGACGTTACCTATATAAAGCGAAATAAAAAGTTCATCAATGCGTGCTTAATTAAGAAACGTGTGCATCATAAATCACACAACAAAAATTACAGGATTATTGGAGCTAAAGAAATATAGCTATATTTAATTCGTTATCTTCTAACATTGGATCTGACATTTCACTCTGCTGGCATTCGTTTTATCGAATCCCATTTTGTATAAATCAACCAGTTGTATAAATCAACCAGTACGTATATTCTTATTTTAGATTCAATTTTATGTAGAAGTAATTTATTATTATTATTATTTGTTCCGTGCATATTTTTTACACATAAACATCTTTACGTTTTATATTTACCGAATATTTGTAATTATTTCTCGCAATATTCAAAGAATTATATATATAATTTATATACCATGTTATTTATCATGTAATTTATTTACTCCCAAACATAGGAAGGAACTATGATTCTACTCGTGGATCTGGCGGCTTCGCGACGCGCGATTTTCTGGTCTGGAGCGCGGCGGCCGCGTCGGTGACTTTAATGCTTTCGATTCTCGAATTCCAGCGCGCTTAGCCCATGCTCGTTGAATTTTTAGCGGACTTAGAACAAAGCGACGACGCGGTTTAGCGTGCATGTGCGCGTGTCGCGCCATTGCCATCCTTCGTCGTGTTACCAGTAAGTAGCGACGTGTCGTGTGCGTATGTGCACGCGTGCACACGCGAAGCAACACACGTTGGTGTGGAGTGGTGTGGAGGTCGGTGATTTGCCTATGCGTACCGCGGCAGGTCGGCGGCACGATGATATACGCGGCCATTGTTTCGTCCCGTCCTTTCTCTAATCCCCCTGCTACCTTCCTGCGTTCGCTCCCGCATTTCGCAACAACCTCCCCCCTATGCATTACTGAGCCACCGGTCCCGAGAAACTGGCACCTTCGGCGCATCCATGGGGCGCTAATGCGCTCGTCCGGCGTCGCGATAGATAAGCCGCGAACCAGAGATACACCGTGCTTTGTCGTCTTCGGTGGGGCTGGTTTACCACACTTTAATCGTTCGTCAGAAACAGAGGCTGGATCGGAGCGCTTCCGTGTTAGGCACGAGTATGCGGATCCAGCGCAGAAAAATGATCCGCGAAATGCACGCCAACGCACGTGGAGATAGGGGAGACCGGGGCTAGTTGGTACATGGGGCAAGTTGGTACACCGCAATTATTGTAAAAGTGACAAAAGATAATATTGCATAAAAAATATAGTATTTCCGCAAAAACATTTCGATAATATTTCAATTAGTTATTTTAAGCTGAGTAGCGTATTTTCACAAACAGAAAATATTTTTAGTTTTGTATAGCCGAAAATAAAATAAATCAGTGATGTATTAAATGTTATATTTACAAATCTGGTCATCATATCATAATTTTAACTGTGTCTTTAAAATTTTTACTTTTAACGTAATGTAAGATTTCACCGTTAACGTCTCTTATTACGTATCAGAACCAGTCAGTACACAACATCAGTTAAATTCTATCTATATTATAATTTTGCACTCAACAATGTAAGTATAATATAACACATATTGTTACATGGTGTTATTTCTCTTTATTAAATATATTTATATTTTGAAAACTGGATCTTTCATAACTTAATTTAGTACTGTAACAACTTACCCCGTATATGAGGCCGGTTACAAATGTCGTCGCCTTATAATTGTTATTGGTGCAACAAAATTAATTATATTATTTAGTTAAAAAAATAATTTTTGTGTTGTATAAGCATGCGGCTATTGAAAAATTCTTTTGCGGCTTGTATTCCATTTATTAGTTACGTGTAAAAACATAAAAAAAAAAGTGTACCAGCTAGCTCCGGTCTCTCTTGCGTGCATAAGGAAACTACTAGTGTTTATCAAATGTTTGTGACATATAATTGATATTTTGCTTGTTGACGATTTTCTCACATAATGAAAAAACTCATTAGACGTTGATGCGAATATGCGAGACACAATCACACATTGGATGGACAATTTCCGGGGAGACCGCCTTCGAGAAACACGTTTTTTTCTCTTGAATGCCGGATTCCTCCTTGCGGGACTGCTAATATATGCCGCGGACTCGTCCAGTCACACACTTGTGAGAGACTTCCACAACGATAATTAGCGGCATCGCAAGATATTAGTTCCCATGGAAGATGTGGCAATCTTTGCCGTAAATTATAACGTGAACGAGTTCGCTCGAAAGCTCGTTATAGCGTTTTCCGAGGAAGATGCAAGGACGCATTTCTTATAAAAATGACGGCATATTCCATGAGACGGACAAATCTCGGAATTTTCTCGATCGCAGACGACTTGCTTTTTAAGGCATGCGTGCGAAGAGAAGATGCAAACGAACGGAGCCGCAGCGGGGTACTCTGGACGGAACGGCGTCGCCGACAACCCCGAGGAAGTCCAAGCCGCGCGATTCATTTCGCTGAATTTACTGTAATGCTCGGTACCGGCCAGATTCGAGGCAATTATTCCAGGTATTTTCGTAGCAGAGCTTTCCTATTAGCTGCGGCGAGTGCGTGCTGAACAGTAAACGCCGACGCACACTATCTACGCCGAAGACTCGCTCGAAGAGAGAGAAAAGTGAAATCGCGATCGTGAAATCGAATGCGAATGAGACGCCTGAGAGAAGTACGAGAGATAGTAGCTGTAATTTCAAGTCCTACACACTTAAATTGACAGCCCTGTTTGCGCCGACGAGGACTTACGCACCATCGAAACAATAAGGACGGAGTATCTAAGAAAACCCTCCATTTTCGGTCCTCCCGCACATCTTCGTTATGTCTCGGAGATCAATAAATTTCGACCGCGTTGCTTGTTTTGTTTCTCACGAAAATATACCGAATGTTATACGCCGTGAACACACGTTTATAGGTGCGTTCGGGAAGACACTATTAGTGCTATTTGCTTATTTTATCCTTGTTTTACACCTGATGAGCGATAAAGATAGAATGATGCAATAGCGCTAATAGCGCGCTTCCCGAACGCAGCCTATGTCGCTCGAGATCATCAGAAATCTGCCTAAACTAGTTTGATGATGTTATTAAACTTCATGTTCAGTCGTCGCAATGAATAATGAAGAAATTTGACAAACTTTAGTCTAACTGACACAGCACGGTGGAGATATATAAGCGATCGCGCGATGAGATCTTTGATCTTACCTTGATCCGCAATTGCTGGCCCTGCAACGTTCACCACGTGCGATCCGACGTGAAGGTTCTCGGAAATCTTGACGATCGGGTTAGACAACAGTAGCCGAAGAGGTCCGCTTGGCTGCGCCGCCACCGGGTTCAGACTCAGCTTCAGCACGGCCTTACGTGGTGGCGATCCGTGATCGTTGGCCGTAATCTCGAGGTTCGCGGGCTTCGTGATGGGTTTCACGAGACTTACGATACCCGACTCGTAGCCCACTGTGAACCGCGACTCCTCGTTGCCCGAGGTTATCACGTAAGATATCCGACCATTGTCGCCGGAGTCCTTGTCCACGGCAACGACTCTTACCAAGCTAGCACCTGGTGAGATTAGGAAAATAAAAATTTGATTAATCGTCCTATGTGTGGATCTGTGTAATACACTCAGTTGAGTGACAAGATATGACACTTACCAGGCAGAAGATTCGACGCGACGTTTATCTTGGTGAACTCTGGCGCGACGAAGACGGGATCATTATCATTCTGATCAAGGACGATGATCCTTGCGGTGACCGTGGAAGCTAATTGTTCTCCTGGCAGTGCCCGGTCTGATGCCTTAAGAATCAGAATATATTCCGCTCTCTCTTCTCTATCCAATTGCTTGGCCAGGGTCAAAGCGCCAGTGAGAGAGTCCACGGCGAAGCAACCCTTCGGTGGGAACTCGGCTACGAGGCCGTACCTGAGTTCTCCGTTCAAGCCGCTATCCAGGTCACTGGCCGTGAGATTGTAAATGGTGGAGCCAATTGTCGCTTTCTCGGACACGCGAACAATTATCGGATCTTGCGGCCAACTCGGCGAATTATCGTTGGCGTCCTCTATGACGATCTTCACGGAAATAGCGATGCTCTGAGGATTCCCGAGCGAGGTCGTGTCCAATGCGCGGACATTCAAATGGTACTCGCTTACATTCTCGCGATCGAGCGAGTGAGCGACTACTAGCTGGCCCGAGTTGCGGTCGACGTCGAAAGCTGGAAACTCGTTGAGCGGCGTCAGCGAGTCCAAGGTGAAGGCCACGCGACCCGCGGGACCCGCTCCCGATACTGACCCCACTGTGTGCCCGATACTTGCATCCTCGCGCACCTGAGTGAGGTAAGTGTATATTATCAAACCCAGTCCACACTTTATTTCTTATATTATAAAAATATTTTCTTTTTTAAAGATAATTTATTAAAGATAATTTGTGTGTCGATCGAAACTGAGGAAGTGTTACTTAATAATTAAGCCAAGATAAGTATTTATATTAGTATTTATATTCAAAAACATTCATTTATGCGTATTAATTAATAAGAAAGATAAATGTTGAGTCATAGGACATATATCTTTTTAGGAATTAAATGGGACAAAAATTAAATGATAATAAGTGCAAAATTAAATGTTTAATTCAACGATTAATAACAACGAAGATCATAAGAGAGCGATAAAATTTCAATCTCCCATAGAATTTTCTACAGAATTTCTAACGTGGCATAAATTGTGCGAAGCTATCCACGGGATACGCACGTAACAACGGCGGCGAGACACCGTCGGAGGGATGTTAGCGCGATCATAAATGTTCTAATGAATAATTGCAAGAGGGAACTATGGAGTCCTCTCTCCACGGTGTCCAGCGAAGATAGAAGCAAATCTGATGGGGAAAATGAATCCTACCGGGTGGTGCGGTCAATAGTACTCACGTTAAAGGTAAGACTGCTGCTGGTGAAGGTCGGCCGGTTGTCCGCGAGTGCCAGAACTTCGATTTGCAACACGCGCTCGCTATGTCGCGGCGGATGACCGGCGTCGGCCGCCCTTACGGACACCCGGTACTCTTTGCACTCCTCGTGATCGAGCATGGCCTTGGTCCTGATCATGCCGGTGATCGGGTCGATGGTGAAGACATTGTAGCCGTCCGAATCGGCTCGGCCTGTAGCGAAAAACCAAGTCAGGTTGTCTGGACGGAAATATTCCTCGAGAGATAGACGGACAAAATTGCGTCTGGATGATTATTCTCGCTGTTGCAAACTTGAACGCGGTATAAAAAAAAATTCTCTGATATCTGTGCCGTTGACCCTGAGGAGAATCGTGTACGCGAAATAGGCGCCGCGCGATAGAGCGCGGAATGAAATGCCTACTGACGTGGACGGGGAGAGGTACATCGTTGCACTCCTCCACAATATTGCAGTATATCCCGCGATGCGATGTTAAGATTTAATCTCGCGATCAAGATTCTTTTCTCGCTAACCGGTACGTGCAATCGTGAAAATTCGATTCCGATCCTAGCCGCCGCCGCAGTGAATTAACGTAGGGGAGACCGGGGCTATATGGCTCGTGTACTATTTCTTAGTATTTATCTTGAGAAGAACAGTGGATAAAAAATTGCGAAATAATTTTTTTTAGATTCTAAATCTAAATGATTCTTTTAGATTCTAAAAAAAACCACTTCGCGATTTTTTACCCACTCTGTTCCTCTCAATAAATACTAAAAAGTAGCATATGGACAACATGCCCCTGGAGCCATATGGTCCCGGTCTCCCCTACACGGTAACAATTCCTCACAAGGGCGGCGCGGCGGCGAGGCACATTTCGCCAACGGATAACACGCCCGGCAAAAACGCCCGCGGTCGCTTTTAAGACCGTGCATAATTGTTTCTGTAATTGCCACTGGGTTATTAAAGTCTCAAAAAGTCTTGCTCCACCGCGGGAGTCTCTAGAGCGGCCGGTGAAAAAACCAAGTTCACCATCTAATCTCCGGCATGTAAGTGCCCTCTCGCTATTTCTCTATTATTCCCGAGTCTCCGCGACTCAACCCGGCGCCTTCGTAACGAAGTCGCGCAATTATTGAACGTGTACACGCACACACACGACTAATTGTAATTTATATATTTTCTTACCGGGATAATCATACCGAGGTAAAAGCGCGGTTTCCTTAATTAGACGAACGGCGCGTAACCGATTGGTCGCGCACAGCGACGAACAAGTAATCGAGAATGAAATAGCTACCACCGTGAGATTAAGACACATCTCGACGGGATAAATTAACCCTTAAAGGCTACTAGGTCCACATATGGACCTAGAATCTATTTTAACGTTAAATAATTTATGTTGCTCAAACCGTTTTCAAAGATTGATGTTTTTATTGACAATTTTTCTAATTCTATTATATTCTTCAGTCTTTTCTATCCCTATTTCGTATAAAATTTTTTAAAACTTAGTCGATGAGACCCAGAGTTATACGCGATCAAAGTTGCGAGGTCCATATATGGACAGTCTCAAGTAATCGAGACTTGAAACGTAGCCTTTAAGGGTTAAAGCAACGTTAAACTCAACGATCCAACTCTTACCTTTCGTGATGCTGTACGTCACCGAGGCGTTTTCCCCGAGATCCGTGTCCAGCGCCCGCACTCTGGCGATCTCCGTTCCCGGTGGCTGCTCCTCCCTGACGCTGACCTGAGCCCCTTGAGGATCGACGATTTCAGGCGAGTTGTCGTTGACGTCCAGGACCGTGACCTTCAGAGACACTCGGGCGGCTCTCGACGGTGTCCCTTGATCCCGCGCCTCCAGAACCAGCTCGTGGACGCTTTTCGTTTCACGATCGAGCGGCTCGCACGTGGTGATCTCGCCTAACGATTGCCGAGCGAAGGGGGAGGGAAAGAGAAACAATTAATTTTCATTGCGCTTCACGAGAGCCGCGAGACCGTCGAGCTTGGCTGGCGGTATAGATAGCGAATTATTAACGATCTATTAGCAATTCCCCAACAGCGCTGCGGGTAGCGTCTATTAGCGGATGCCGGGGAATATTTATGGGCGCGCGACAAAAAGCTCCGTACCGGTCTGTCTTGATATTAGATGACGCTTAAAGACTCTCCGAGCCCGACGGATCTTACGTGCCGACTCTCAAACACTGGCGCGACCAATGGAGATCGCGGTGCGGACGAGAGCAGGGAGCGCATTCGTTCGTATATATAAAATCGAATACGTATACGATCGGCCAATCGTCTCTCTCGTCGATCGCGCGGACGTCTAGACCGACCTTATCAATTTTCCTCGTCAAGAAAACGGTTAATTGGATAATCGCTGCTCGTACGCGCATAAGAACCATTTGTGCGCGGTCGCTCGTATTCCTCGGTCGCGCCTCGATGCCGGGAGTTTCGTTTTTCGTTTCCGCTTTAGCTTTCTCTCTCTCTCCCTCTCTCTCTCTCCTTCCCTCTCTCTCTCCTCGCATATAATAATCATACTAGGGGCGTACGTAGTCGCGCGTGTAACGAGGTCCGCCGTAATTACGTATCGCAGGGAGTAGTCGGAGTCGGAGGGGAGGAGGACGAGAAGGGTACGAATAAGAAAATGAGGGAGAGAGCGGGAGAGGGCGAGCGCATGGCGGAGTAAAAGAGAGAAAAGGTGGAGTCAGAGAGCGCAGAAGGAACTCGGTCTCCCCACCTTTGATGCACCTGGCCGGTGCATTAATGGATAATTAAACGAGCGACTAGCCGAGCAGCCTAGAACTATTCCAGGATCTGGGAAAAGGGTCGGGATAATAATTCGTGCCCGAGACGACGACCCCTATCGATGTCCGCGCCGACGCCGCGCCGTGCCGGGGCCCCGGCCTGGTGGCGTGCCACCACGAATTCTCGACGTACCTAATCGAGTACCATCGCGACCGTTTTAGCGTTCACCACCGACGCGGTGGCTGGACGACGCCGTACTCCTCCGTCGTCGACAAGACAAACGATCGACGGGGGACATGCAAACGCGCCGGCCGGCCTGGCCGGGAGGATGCCATCCGCGCGTCGAGGGATACCATCGCGCAACAATAAGAAGTATATCGTAGGACGCGTGCGCTAATGCGTTTCTTGTGTTAGCCGTGGGACCGCGCGACCGATCTCACCGTCATCCTCGTAAGAGGAACGTGGCTTTTTGTCTTTGCATGCCTCTTCCAATATTTGGAAATCCATCGCGGCGATTGGATGTACGAGCCCGTAGTCCCGTGACGGACGAATAACGGACGGTACGGCGTCGATTTCTCGAAAATCAAACAGTCGTTCGACGAACGGAAACCGTGGAAAACCACCTCGAGGAATCCCAGACCGGGATTAGATCGAAGTCTGCGCCGGGGGGAAACCTGCTCGGCGGCTTTGCAACGCGCGCGCGTTGCAGTTGCTAAGTTGCAGACTAGCTGAGCAAGCTTATCTTTAATTTGATCACCGACACAAAACCACATACCAAATTATCGACGCGCAGAAAAGCCGCGGGGAAATGCCGCTAAACGTGTTTTTGCCACGCTGGAAAATATATCGCTAAATAATCCGAGATCCGATCGAGGATACTTTTATATCACGTTGCTTAATTATAATATAAATCGACTGTAATCGTCATTCATCACGACGCGGCGCGCACCGGATGGTACGCGCGCATGTAGAACGTAATAAATGAAGTGAGATTATCGACTTTCTTTTTTTTTCTTTGCAGATCTTTCTCGTACGAAGTCAACGCACTACAAAGTGATCGCTACAAGTATGTACAAGATAGTGTCGTAGAAGTATCACCGCATGCTTGAAGTGAGCGTGTATCTGTTTAGTAGACGAGCCACGTGGCGCGGATGGCACGTGGCCGCGCCGCAACAGGTATCCGATCGATAGGCGAGTCGGTCACGGTAGGTCACAAGGTCACGGAAATTCCTCAAGTCGCGATAATTGATCGTACCGCGCGCGTATTGCAACAGCTTAAATGCACGAGAATTTCACACGCGAACGTGCGCGTTTTACCACGACTCGTGTCGGAAGAGAGAGATCCCGAAGTCTGTGAGGAACGCGACTTCGACATTTCCGAGGAACATCAAGAAGTGACACGTCTTCGAATCGTGCGGAGGAGGAGGGGGAGGGGGAGGAGGGAGCATCGACTGCTAACAGCCCCTGATCACATATTAGGAACCGGTCGGAGTCGCGCTGACAATCGAATATTCCCTTACTTCTCGTCGCGTTTCATCGCGGACAAGGGCGTGCCATTCCATAAATCACCGGCCGGTCGATCTCCCGACATTGTAAGCCAACACGCGAGGGGCCCCCTTAATTGGATGAATGGAGAAAAGGGCGCCATTAAGCGAGTGTTACGAGGACGACCTACGCGGAAGGAACGGCGAGAGGCACCGCCGCTCGAGGGTTTTCTCAATGGGAGATCCCTCGCGGTTAGAGCTCCGATCGAAGGACAATGGCCGGGCGAAATTTCAACTCACTCCGCGCCGCAGGTCCGTTGACCGGACAATGTGCAGTCGCGCTGCATGCACACAGCGCGGGGATTAATATAGAAGTACTCGTACGACAAGACAGCTGATACTTCCGGCAGTGCGATCGCCCCCACCCCCATCCCCATCGCCGTCGTTATTCCTCATCTTTTTTTCTGCCTCACGGTCCTCCTTCGTCCGCGCGCGGTCGGTGGATGACTCGAGAAGTCCCACCTCTGCAAACAGGCAGCGAAGAAACGAAACGAAGAAAGAGAGAGAGAGAGAGAGAGAGGGAGAGGACCCGGGTCTCTCGGACCGGAGAGCGTGTACACAAATACTCCCGTGTCGCATGCCAATCAAACTGCGCGCATTGCACACGCGGTGCGCGCCGCGCCGCATACGTGCATGTGCGCGTATTTCGCGGCGTGTGACGGGCCCCGGGCCCCGGTTCCTGATGATTCGTTACACGCCGACCCAGGCGAAAGCGCCACTCTTACCGGATTATATTTTAATACCCACGAAGCGTACACACTGCCGCAACTTAAAATGAGTTATACGGGGATCCCGCAAAAAAGAAACGACCCTCGTGTCGTTCCTGTTACTTCAAGCCTGGTAATTTGGTAAATCGCCATTGAGCGACATCGTCGAGCTTAAATCTCGGCGGTCGTATTTGTGAAATGTCCGATTTATTTAACAAACGTATTACAACGTATAGTTTAAAGTGACGAAATATTATCAAGGGATTACGAAATAGATCTCCGGCGACAGGCCTGGCAAGCCGAGCAACGTTGCCCCAGGGACGAGGAACTCTTTCCATCGATTACGAAATCGTTCAACAATGGCGCGGCGTAAAGGGCCGTTAGGTTGACGCAAAAGCAACGCGTAAATTACACACGCTGATGGCTAGAGGCCATTTGATACCATTAACAGTCTCTCTTTTTCCCGCACGTAAGCGTCCCCCTTCCACCTCACGCGCCTAAATGGATCTTTCGTTGGCCCCGTAACGTCCGTTTCTCTCTATCGTATCGCTTTGAAAGAAACGTGAAGGGACAAGAGAACGGAACATCGCGCCGACCGGCGATTCAGACTAGGAGAATTAATAAGAAGCTAGCGAAAGCGCGTTCAATTTTTATTTAACAGGCTAAGAACCTGTCTTAAACAGGAAGTAACCGCAGGCTGCCGCCGCACTTGACTTTGAGCGAGGACGCGAGGAGAGCCGCGATAGAAGATAGCGGCGAAGCGTAGACGAGAAAGAGATCGGTTAGAGACGTTAGAGACCGATATACGAGATTGAACATCTGGCGAAAATAAAAGACTCTGGCGGCAGACGCGGAGTACAATTATGCTCGCAATAGCGTCTCGAGACGAAGGGCAGGGATATAATTTAGAGAACCGAAACGCGTGAAAGATAAAGTTCGATAGGATTTCACCGAGGATTATCGATCACGACGCGGGCCATCGCTTCCGTTTTCGTGGCGCCGCATTCTTGCGCGCTATAAAAATATACGCGGCGTCGCGAGTATGACAATAATACGAGGCAAAGCGTCACGACGACGGAGGAAGAAATTCCAAACGCACAGCCAAAATGTTAATCGCCGCGAATCGATCACTGTCACCCGTAGCCCCGGAGAAGCACCGAAGGGACCGTCCACCGAATCAGGAAGTTTCTCCTTGTAGTACATCTCTTATTCACGGTTGTCGAGTAGCGCGGCCGTAACTCCGGTGTGAATTTAACTTGTCCGAGAACGAGCCGGTCGGAGAATAATGCGATTCCTTGCCGAGTCCGTTCAATGAATTCTCGAATTACACGTTCGCAAGCAACTCGAGGACGCGCCGCGAGAACGAAACTCGGCGAAACCCGTGGAAACGATTCGCCAATATTTTTCTCCGCGAGTTTTTTTCGAGCTGCGTGGGCATCTCTCCGGCTCTCGGTTCTCGAAGCCTCGGGTCCGGGCCGGCTTTCGCAAACACTCGAGCGTCGTTGTGACGAGAACCTATATACTCTGTAGCGTTTGACGGCGACGCAAACGAAGTGCAAACGGAATGAAGCGAACGAAAAACAGGAAAATAAGATACGGGGGAGATAGCCTCTTACCTGTGTCGGGATCGACGGCGAAGCTGCTGTTGGCTTGGACCACTGCGTATCTGAGAAGCGAGTTCTTGCCGAGATCGGGATCGTTGGCGCTCACGGAACCCACCAGAGTGCCCGAAGGTAGATTCTCAAGCAGCTCGAATCCGTAGAAGTCCTTTTCGAACTGCGGATCATTGTCGTTGTCGTCCAGGACCATCACCAGCACGGAGGCACTCGCGGTCGCCGCGGGTGATCCATTGTCAGTCGCGAGAACCGTCAAGGCGTGCCGATCGAGAGTTTCGCGATCCAAACTCTGCGCCAGGTAGATCCAGCCAGTGGTGGGGCTGATGCGAAAAGCGGTGGAGCCCTGGAGACGATAGCTCACTCTCGCGTTATTTCCCGTGTCCTGATCGAGTGCCATTACCTGAAGAATCTGCAAATGACGAAGAATTACTTCACGATAACCAATGTGTCCAATGTGACCATTCAACGAATTTATTAATCTAATTATTATTGAATTGCACGTGAGCGCGGCGACGACTTTAACGTCTTCAACGTCTTCACAACGTTTAGTACAACAAATTGAGAACATCAAAACATGCACGATGGAATGTTAAAGTTCCAGACGAACAGAACCACGATGAAAATCGAAACAAGAGCAATCGTGTCATCCGCAGACATTTCTCGCGATCTCGCGGGAGCGAGAAAGAGTAAGAAGAGGAAAAGAAACAGAGGCGACGTCGGGATCAGTCGATCCGGTCGTTCCGTATTAATTAAACGCACCCAAAAGGACCGCGAACGAACACGTTCGGACCAGACGATGTTTTCCAGCGCGGGAGGATGGTGAATTGCGAAGGTCGAGGAAAAAGAAGGGGAAGAAAAAGCGCAAGATCGGTATAAGGTCGTGTCTCGCGCATGAACCCGCGGCTTACGAATGATGGATGGTGATAGAAGGGAAAGAGGTGGGAGTGGAGGAAGAGAAGGAGAAGGAGGATGAGAGAGACACCGCGCGACCGGGCTGTCTTCACGGAGGACCAGGAGGGAATGGGATGCAAGTTATCATTAAACGCGGAACCTGATGTAGAAGCAGGCAGTAATGTGTCTAACTGTACGTTATTAGTTCACGGTGGGTGAAGGGTTACACTCACTGCCAAGTTACTCTCTCACTCCAGCTACTTCCTCCCTGCCGCGTATCTATCTTTCACGCTCAGATCTTCCTGTCTCATTCCATCTTTAACGTATACTGGCGGCTGAGATATTGTCCGAATATCACCGATAGCTCACAGATCTGTTTCGCCGATAGATACCACAGATATATATCTAATACATCAGGAGAAAGATGGAACGAGAGATCGAGTAGCGATGAGGGAAGGAAGGAAGAGGAAGATGAAGAGAAAGGGCCAAGACGAAAAAGAGAAAGAAAAAGAGAGAGGGAGAGGGGAGCGCGAATTGCGGCGACGTCTCTGCCGTATCCGCTTGTGCGTTGTATTAAAAATGCGACGTCGTTTAACGGGCGTATCTCGTGGCAAGGATCTCACTGCCATTCGTCATCGGTATCCTCGTATTCGGGATTACCCTCGCTCCGTACGCGGCTACCATCGCCACGAGGGAGCGTCGGACCTACCAGCCGCGCATCAACGACGACCCGGTTCTCGCGAGTTTCGCGGCTAATGACTCTCCCTCTCCCTCGAGACACGGTCCCTCGTCGCAAAACCTCGCCGTCGACCCAAGCTCACCCTTATTTCGATTTTTTACCGGGTAATGACTGATATGTGTACATAATTACAGGGAGGATAGATGCGCATTGCCGTCGGCGATCTTCGCGGATGGACCCGCGCGTCTCCGAGCATCGTTTTCGGATTCGCTCTGGGCGTCGCTTTTTTTCCGACAACGAAGATCGAGAATTTGGGCGGAGTCGAATAACGCAGGAATTCAAATTTCTCAAATCTAATTTCGAAATTCCGCTATTTTTGATGTAACCGTACGTAACATGATCTTTTCCCGTTGGGTAAATGGTCGGGAATTTACTCGCAAAATGATCGACTATGTGCGGCGTTCCTGCGGGCCTATCGGCTGTTACCTATCAATCCTAGGCCGCTCTCGTGGAACTCGCGGCTGCTCGCCGCGATCGGTATAAACCGCGGCAACATGCCGCGTCTGGATATCAGATTATCGGGCATTCCCTATCCATCTCCTGGCACCGAACTGGTCCGTCGAACAACCACGACGGAGTAACATCGGCTAATCTCGCTGCAGCGTGATGCAACGGTCCGGTTAATTCCGTTCCTAGTCGGCGCGGGGTTAATTCTCTCTTTGCCTACAAGGTGAACTTCGCGAGTCAACGTCTTCTTCTTCTTCTTCTTCTCCTGTTCCCTTTTCTTTCGAGAGAAACTACCCGGAAGGGGAGTAGACGACTAGTATAACCGTGGCGTACGCCTGGCGATACGAGAGGGGGCAGAGAGTTCACAAGTGCGTCCTTCCTGGTTGTCCCGGATAAAATTACGCGTCCCAGAGACAGGCGAAGTAAGTTTCGATGCACGGAAGCAAAAAGAATCTACCCGAGGAAAAAAGGGAACCATCACTTCGGCCGTGAAGAGATAGCCGATGAAGAGCGGGAGAAAGGCTGAAGAGAGAGGTTGTTAACTTCTGCCGCCTCTACCATCCGATCCAGAAATTCTTTCTCTCCTGCTTTCTCGTTCTCTCTCTCTCTCTCTCTCTCTCTCTCTCTCTCTCTCTCTCTCTCTTTCTCGTTTCCTTTTTCGAAGAACCCTACCGCATCCTCTCGACAAACAAATGCTCGCGTGACGGGCGTGTAATGAAGATTTTTCTCACCTGGGAATCGAGCCTGGCGCCTTCGGGAACCTCCACGTGATACTCGTTCCTCTCAAACACTGGGGGGTTGTCATTCACGTCCTGCACCTCGACGCTCAGGCTGAGGTTAGACGAGAGCTCGGCGCCGTCCAGGGCACTTATCAGGAGGCTGTGCCTCTGCTGGGTCTCGTAATCCAATCGTTTCGCCAAGTAGAGCTCGCCGGTACGCTCGACTATCCCGAATAGATTGTTGCTGTTCTGACGGAGAACGTAGCGCATCGACTGCGACGACGTGATGTCGGGATCGGTAGCGTGCGCCACGTACAGGGGTACGTGGAGTGGGTGCGATTCCGGCACCGAGATGCGGACGGTACTCGTGCGAAACGACGGCGCGTTGTCGTTCACGTCCTCCACGATCACTTCCATCTGTAACGGAAAGAAAAACACGGACGGATGTCGCGTAAGCTCATAAAATATTCTGCTGCGATTGATCGCGGTTTTCACGGCGGCATGCGAAAGCGGAAAGCGCTACTCGTGCCTCGTTAAGCGAAACTCCGACGAACTCAAGTCCGTATATATCTTTCAAAATACGATACTAATTCGCTAACGAGCATGCGCGCGTCCGCTCACTAAATATTAATACAATATAATATCGGTGGGAACGCAAAAAATCGTAGCGCGGACTTTTCGCACGCCTCGGGATTTTATTATATGTGCATTCAGGATAAATATATTGAGAACACGGATAAACGGCTATGATTACGGTGAGTTAATACCGAGATACGATGATTATCTGGATGCGCAATTTACCTGGCAATATCCAACGGAGCCGGCATTACGTGCCTCGATGCTGAGAATGTATTTGTCACGTGATTCCCGATCGAGCGGCTGTCGAATCCTCAGCGTCCCCGTATTGGGATCCAACGAGAGATCAGCTTCTTCCCTTGCCAGATAAAACCTGCTTGGTCGTTCGCCTGGAAATGCAGAATGCATAATTTAAATAATGTATACAGATATACATGCATCAGATATAAATAAAGGGGGAAAAATAGCTTTAAACGCGGGAAGAGAAACACATATTGCGTTAATTTATTCATAATAAGTCTCGTCGTCCACCTCGTTTAGTGGGGACTAATTAAAACAGTTATATCGGAATAATCTCGATAAATTATGACGCGAGTATCAAAAGTAGTTGAGTTTCCGGTTGCATTTGCATTGAAATTTGCATTATCGCAACTTAGTGTTTTTCATAATGGCTTCTGGTTCACCAGACGTTAAGTTGATCGACGTGAGTTGCTATTAAATCACGATACTTACGTCGCGTTCGCCGCTAAACCGGGAGATCGATAACTATAAGTCAATTCCACGTCTGTCGATTCCATACAAAGTTCTAATGAAGATGTCAAATTGATTTGCTTTTACGATATCAACGATCTTCAACGAGCGGTACACACATCGTTAGATCGTTAGAAAAATACTCTGACATGCGGCGTGACTGCAAGCAAGATACTCCACAGAAACGTTGGCTGAAGATGTGATACCTAACATTAACGTCACTTTGCGTCACGATATAATTCGTAAAAATTAGAAACAAAATCACAATTTGCTATACACTTTGTTATTTCTACTTTTATGTATAAAAAAGGCAAATTTATTCTTTATTAAAATTACGTGGCGGCACCATAAAAGCGGACTAGTCGAAGTGCTAAATAGATCCCTATACGAGAGCTGTCGCGCGAGCATCGCTGAGATTTCATTCGTCACGGTTACGATCCGGGAGCGTTGCGCTCGAAGGATCGTGTCCGATTGGCGGCACGATCTCCACAGCTGATGATCTTTGGCAATGGTCGCACCACAGATGGGCGAAGTGGCCCGCGATCTACGTTCGTGATGACGATACCGAGTATCGATCGTTCGCCGCTTACGGCGAGAATGGACGGGGCACGTGTGCTCCACACACCACCATGTGAGTGCGAATGAGCGTCGACGGATGAATGATGGCGGTTTATCGATTCCACGACATCGACCTCGATCGACCTCCTCACACACGAACCGGCCGCTCAGTCCCGCTGCCTCAGAATCAATTAATAGCCAAATTGGCCGGTCATTACCAGGCAGATGCAATTCCGTGATGAACGATTTAAGTGGCGCGAGCACGCGCGCGCTTTCTTGACGAGGTTCGTTGGCGATCTGTACGCCCACGTCCTCCCGAAAACCGTATAAGGATCCTATATTCATAGGGAAACACAATCGAAATTATCGCGGGGTTCAAGTCGCATGATACGAGGGATAGCCGACGGCCTGTTTAGATCTAACATCTAACACGTCGCGCCGACACGTGTCCCCGACCCGCCGCTTGATAGATGATGCTGTTTAATTGGACAGCTTAACTCTTCAGAGAGACCTCTTCTCAAAATCATTAGTTTGTCAGTATCGAGTCAAAGGCGGATCGCTAACGCACGTCGTTCCTACGTAAAAAGGATCTTAATCAAATTGATGAAAAAGCGTCCCCCTTCAGTTTACTTTTCGCAATCGGCAATTAACCGTTTTATTAATGATGTATGAAATCCGGTCCAACGGCAATTCATTACGGCCCATATGGGCCTTTCCTGCGTTATCCGACGTCGCGCGCCGCGAAAACACATCGCGAGGCCACATCCAATTACAGACGTATCCCGTCTCGTACGCACACGCAGATAAGGCACGCACCGGCACGCGTTCCTGGATAATTGCTCCGATCGATCGGCGACTTGATCGCCGTAAGTCTGGGGCCAAAACGGGAACTGCGGATCATTCGGATCCAGAACGTGCTGTTCCTAGATACGTTTCGACAAATCCGTCGCGGGAGATCTACCGCGACGAGACCGTCTCCCGTCGATCCCGATCAACTTTTTCTCCGCGGTGCGACAGGAAAAACCAGGTAGACGGGAAACGTTATCGTCTCGGCGAGTCGAAGTTCGAGAGATAGCCGTCCATTCCATTTCCACGATAATTCGTGACGTCTACGTCGTCGTCGTCGTCGTCGTCGACGATGTCTGTGTCGTCTATATCGAATGTCGTCGGTGACATCGGGTGACATCGACCGTTCGACCAATGCCTTAAAGATGGTACTCGGTCGCGTACGTGGACGGCATAATTTATAGACCGCTATTTATACTCGATCCAACTCGCTCGTCCTTTTTCCCCGTTTCCCCTTTCGCATCGATACACGCGACAGTGTGGCAGACGTACCCACACGCACACGCGCGAATAACGGCACGAACCTCGGTCAGCGGTGCCCAACACTTTGAGGAACATTTCTTATTTTGTTCGGGAGAATTAAAACAAGATTATCACGAGGTCTGATCCGCGAGAAAGTACCATAATTCTCAACGCTAAATAATTCCGCGAGCATTTACACGTCCGGGACACTGATACAATCCTCATCATCCTCAGCTCGTTTCGTCCGAAAGATTGTCCGGTCAGACACCCTATATACGTGCGGGCGCGCACACGCGCGCGTATGTGTGCGTCCGACGAGTATACGCATACTTGGCTTGGATCGGCTCATTCGGTAAAATGCATGTGCGAAGGATTGAAACACCGCGCTCTTGCGTGAACGTATATATACGCGCGGCGCGCGTGTAATTACGCGAATGCGTTGGTACCGCGAGAGACTGGTCTGGAAGATGTACGCGTTTTATATCCACGGCGATACCTCTACCCATCAGCATTCGGTACCCGTGTTATTAAACGTCCGCGTGATCTTTTTCCACGGGCCCTGCGCGCCGCGAGAGGAGGGTCCGCCGATCCTGTACTACTCCCCGTATATAATTACGATTTACTCCGCATCCCGATACGCCGAGATACCCGCTCGAGTATCCTCTTGCCCGTGCAAAAGGATTTCGATGCGCGACTTCGGAAGGGTATGACACGCCGGACAAATCTGTGTCCCTTCCCGGCCGGTATAAGCCGCCGTGGCGAGAAAGCTAGCCATTAAGATACGCGCATATTTGGCAATAAATCTCAAGGTACAATAAAATCAAAGTGCGCGAATATCGCGCATTCTCCCTACGAATACAATGTATTGCAATTCGGATTTTTACCTTGCTTCAAAAAATCGCAAATAATCGATCAATTATTTAAATATTACAGTTAATTAGTAAAATAAATCTTGAGCAAACGGATAACTTTTTCAATTATAAGAGTTAAAATTTGGTGAGTATTGAAATTTTATTGCATGGAAGCCAAATTTTGCAATATTTCGTAAAATTTACGAGGTCGTAAATAAGGAAAATTGTACACAAACTTCCATTTCCGTGCTGTTTTCGTTGCGCTTTAAAGCGTTATTTTTATTTAGAATAATCGTCTGTACAAGGTGCACATGTAACGTGGTCACGTTTTTCTCCCACCGGTGCCGGTTGTTCGCGAGGGCTTCGTCACCCCAGTTACACACGCGTCCCCCCGGGGTGCCCACGTGGGTGTAACGAAGACAAATCGCTCGCGTATTTGATTAATTCGCAGAGATCGCCGGTCCGGCGCTGGATTCTCCCGACCTCCTCCTTCCATCCTTCGTCCTCCGGCATCGTGGATCGAATCGAGAGCGAGTTTTTGCCCGACGAGAGAGATGCCGGGGCAGGAAAGAAACCCGTAACGCACTCATTACTGATTCTCGCCCTTATGCGTTCTCCGCACGAATGGCACGGTTAAAACGAGACGTTCCGTCGGATTTCTACGAGAAATTTCTCGGTGGCCGGCCGGCGGGAATCGACGACGTATTCGACATGAAAAGTTCACAGACGGCGTTATCGAACAAATTCGTAATGTCTGAATATCGGGCGAAGCGCGAGGAGAAATCGAGCGACGTCGTTCGCGCATTGCGCCTATGAGGGGACTATTATCGTGATTCTCCTTTCCTTTTTGCATCGACAAGCAGTCTTGAATGGCGAAGGTAGCGGTCAATGTTTACCGATCAGCATATCCTGCTTTCACGGCATGCGTGTTGGCGGGACCGCCGCCGCGTGCGTGAACGTATACGCGATGCACCCGCGATGCACCCGCGATACCTCTTGCATACCGACTTCTGCGTATTGACCGTGCGAAGCGGTCAGGGATAATCCCGCCCACAGTTTCCTTCCTCATTCAATCCTAAAACAATGCGAGTAAACGCGTGCAACGTATTACCTTTTCCGAAATTTTCTACAAGTTTTTTCCTACTTTTCCTCTATTTCCGCGAATTTCCCTTCCACCTTTCCTTCTCGATCCTCGCTTTTCGTGCCGGTCTCTTTTGCTCTGTCCTCTTCTATCCTTTAACATCCCGCTTCATTCCACTTCACGGTCCTCCCCTCTCAATCGCACAAATGGAATTCATTTCTAGTTCCTTGACTCCCGTTTCCCACTCGTCTTCGCGTTCTCCATCTCTATCGCCGTTCCGTGGCTGTTGATTCTGTCCTGTTTTCATCTGGGTCGTTCCCACATGCACGACGTATCGCGGCGGCGACAACTACGTAGACGATGATGATGACGAACACGAAGATCGAGGATGCTCATGCAATCGCAGTAGCAGGATGCTATTTATTTATCTTCGATAATGCTCCCGAGGCTACATTTGCCGCTACGATATACGTGCGTGCATGCGTGTGTGCGTGCCGTGTGTGGGCAGCGGTACTAGCTATGAGAAATCGAAGCGAGGCTTCTAATTGGTGCCGGGAGGATATATTGAAATGAAGTCGTCGTGTCGCGGGGAAAATATCCCATTGGCGCGGCGGACGCACGATAATGGCCGCGCGTTAATAGAAATTCGCATCCCGCGACGCGTTGCGATTTTCAATACGCGGCGGGAGCATAAATCGCGGCGACGCGACGCGGGTATACGTTAATTGTCTAAATGCGGAAAGAGAAGAACGAAAAGGGCGCGAGTGATCCTCCGTTAGGTTGACCGACAATTACTCGTGCGCGAAACAGTTCATAAATCATCCCCGATGATCGTTTCTTT